TGGCTAAAAAGTGTTTGATTAGATTACTTGATTACTCGACAGCAAAAGTAATTGGACATTGCTTTAAGGAGTAACCGTGACTTTTCCGATTACTTTATTGTGTGAAAACTTACATCTTTAGCGCTCATAACAATGAACTATTTCCAATCTATATTTCACATTTTAACAAGTATTGAAGAAGAAACGGTTCCCATTTCGTGGTCGTTGCACCTTGTTCGAATCTCTGGTTCCAAATAAATTGTATTTTGGTTTCTTGCTCTATATATTTTCTTGCACTGGCAACCAAGAGGCCCTTACTCTCTTTCGCACACACACGCGCTTCTCGAGATATTATTCACATATAGATGACCTCGCATGTTACACAAAAGAGCAGCAGCTCCAGGATCTGAAACGGATCACGTGTAGTATCCATTAGCGGAAGAGATCGCCCCGACCACTTCTCAACTCAAAACATTGCTTGTCACAAAGACCACGTAGGGGAAATACGGTATCCTGACGTGTATTTTAACTGGCTTTCTTATATTTTGCATCCACTTTAGATATTATTGGGTTCTGGTTCTCCTATGGGCTGCGAGTAGGTACCGTAACTAGGATTGTTTTATTTTTAAATTTTATTTCTTTGTGTGTGTGCGTGAGGGGTCTAGTTTGAACGAAGGGCTCACAAAGCTACATTCTGCTCTCTCAAACTTCGCCCTGAATGGCCTTTTTCACGCACCGGTGCTTTCCTGGTGCTTCCCACTCCCACTCCCAGCTCGAAAAGAACGAACATTCCAGAGAAACAGTACATACCAAGGGGTTGACCTTGTTTCCTACAGCTCCGCAAAAATCTTTCTTTTTTTCGTTCGAAAAAAGATACAAATATTATTTTTGTCATTTCAGAAAAAAAGTGTGTGTGTGTGTGTGGGGGGGGGGGGGGGGGGGGTCCGTGGAAAATTAGTAACGGTTACAATTAATTTTTATTACTTCAAAAGTAATCAGATTACTCTTGGGATTACTGCATAATAAAAGTAATCAACTGATTACAAATTTACCCCAAAAACTAATCGATTACAATTAGTGTGATTACTTGTAATGGGTAAGGTACAAGTCTGGCTTGGACGAATGACGTCATCAACAATAGAAAATGTGCTCAAAACTTTGAACTCTTTCTACTATTATGTTCAAAATGTATCAGACTCTTTCTTTGTTATCCTCTAGTGTATTGTCAGAGTCGCACACCCGAAGTCGAGCAAGAGCAATGCAAACTAAAAAAAAAAAAAAAAAGAAATGTTAGATACGTTTTGACAGTTAGACACACAGAAACCGCAAATATAAACCTTGCGGGTGCCATTCAGTTCACTCGAACATAATTTCATGCGCCATGCTGGTGGCGTCTCTTGCGTGAGCATTCCCTTCACCCTCCTGCTCTTACACCGAAGCAATGAGTACTTCCAGGTATGCACACTGTAAGAAATCTGGAGCGTACACCTTCCCGCAAGAGCGTTTGGGAAAACCAGTCTCTGCAAGCAATTGAGGCTGCAGCTCGGTGAATGACAAAGCTAATGATATGTCTACACCCTAAAAAGCAATCTGCGCTCTGGCACTCAGCCAGGTGAAACGTAATGCTGAATGCCACAGCGCTTTGTTTTTCGCGGAGCTTCCACTCTGGATTGCAGCGATGGGCACCCCCGAATGCTTAGCGGAAAAGTATACACGCCCCAGATTTTTTTTTTTAGAAAGTGCAGCACGGTAAAATTACCAAGAAACAGCCCGGAATGACTTCACGTACAATTTACGGATATGATTTTCACACTAGACCAGGCGGTCCTCACAGCGAAGATCTCGAGCAAATAGTCCGACTTTCTTTCATGCTACGATGTCTCTGTTGCTTTCTGGGCCCGTTTGCTCGAAGCGCTAACCGCTGCTAAAGTTAGCCGCAGTACCTAGGAGAAGGGTTTTGAAATCACGTGACTGGCTCGGTAAGGATGCGGGGAAACGTGGCGGTGCCGTGGTGAGTGAGCGCCGCTTGCTCTGGAACTAATATGTCGTTGCAGCTGCAACATCGGGCGCGTTAGTCAGCAACGAATGGTGCAGGAGGCTTTCGCTTTGCCTTACGCCACTTAAATCGCAAACATGAGTAATGACCTCGCCGCATTTTTTAAATAGTCTTTCGGTTCTGGTCATTCCTAAGCCTGAATGAACGCCATGATTGTCGGTATGGCAACGTCTTTGGAAAGCGGATTGCCTTGACTCAATCGGCCGGGTATTGATAGCACACAAAAGCAGACAGCGTCCGTATAGACATTTTTCTAACTTTCCACGCACCGAGGTGCATGCTACGAGCGTAGTTACACGGGTTGCACGTGCTGGCGTTTGTAGTAGTAATTGGTGTAAAGCAAAAAGTCTAAGACAAATTTTGCATTGCACGCGCGCTCGTCAAAGCCTTTTTATGGTTATTTACTTCGAATCTTTTATTGGAAGAAGGCCAGCGCGCGCGGACCGTAGAATTACACTTTCAGCGTTCTGCTCGATGCTTGGGTAATTTAAAAAAAGGCCTATCGGGACGCTGTCTACTTCTGTGTGCTATCAATAGCCGGCCAATTGAGTCAAGGCAATCCGCTTTCCAAAGATGTTGCCATGCCGACAATTATCGCGTTTATTTAGGCTTACGAACGAGGTAATTGCTCATGCTTTCAAATTTAAGTGAGGTAAAGCAAAGCGAAAGCCTCCTGCACCATTCGTTGCTGACTAACGCGCCCGATATTGCAGCTACAACGACATATTAGTTCCAAAGCAAGCGGCACTCTCTCACCGGGGCACCGCCATGTTTCCCCGCAACCCTACCGAGCCCCAGTCACGTGATTTCAAAATCCCTCTCCTGGGTACTGCGGCTAACTTTAGCCGCGGTTAGCGCTTCGAGCAAACGGGCCCTGGTGTATTTTTTTTTTTTTTTTTTTTGTGTGTGAATAGTAAAGTGGTTTATACAATATCCCGTTTCCGAAATCATCGCAGCCCAGCATGAGTGTGATCGTCGCCTCGATAACAACTATGGAATATTACGCGCCATTCGCAACAGCGTTGAAAATGACACCGGCTAAAGGGCCTGTTTAGAGGGGTCGGTACACATTTGCATATTGTTTACAAACAATATCGAGTTCACCGTGCATTTAGAAGCAGGTCCAGTGGTACGAGCTTCAAACTATACTTAGAGCGAAAAAAAGAAAAGAAACACGCCACAGGCGTACCTTCCTACCACAAACCCTATAGTGAATGCTATCCTAAAAAGAAAATCGAAGGGCATCTGTCAAGTCCCGAGTACCCCACTATCGACCTGCAGCTACAGAATATCTATAGAATAACTATAGAAGAAAATGGGACAGTGCGGCTACAGTGTACTAGAGTAAGGTGTAGTTCTGGGATTGGAGCGGCTCGCGTGAAGCGTGTGGTGTAAATCGCGACAGGATTCGACACCGGCGCATAGGCAGCAGGGTCAGTGTGGTGGTGGTTGTGGGCGTGCACCGCGTGCACCTGCACTTGCAGACTGCAGCGACTTTCTGCTGTCCTGATGTCGACTGCAGCGTCGCTATTGTTGTCTACACGCGCTGCCTCACACGCTCCCATTGCCAAGCGGCACCGGTCCAAACACTACCCCGTATTCTAGTAATCTGTAGCGCGGCATCGGACCGTAAGGAGGCCTGACAACGAATCAGGGATCGAAGAGCGCGAGCATAATATTTCACGGCCTGCATTTCCCAAGCCGTCAGCGACTACAGAACGCATGGCTACTGACGGAAGGCCCTTTGTTAGGACAGTAACTCACTGTTTGTAGAAAAAAAGAAAAAAAGAAACTGCTATGGTATAAAATGTAACGTTCAAAGTCACCGACACCTTAAGAAGCGCAAGGCGTTTCGGCTGTCGGTCATTTTTGTGTCCCTCCGGAGGCAAACAGATTGGAATGTTATTCGACGAGGAAAAGCAAAGAACGAGTCGCAACGCAGGCTCTATAAATTATATGGCACCAAAATCTCCAACTAATTATGGTTTACAAAGATTAGCAGATCAAATTCCTGAATTTTTCAATAAGTACTTGGAAATTGAATTGTTAAAAATGCCGTATCGTCTTATATCTTTAAAAAGAGTTTGAAAGCTTACTTCTTGTTGAATTCTGGCTACTGTTTTTTCTACTATTGCTGATTGTACGGTTGTGACGTAGACGTTATGACGTGTGTTCATGTGAATGTATTATTACTTTTGACTTGGATCGTACCCGAGTGTTATGTCTATTTATAATACTACTAGCGATAACATTTTAGGCTTTCTCCTATCATTGTCTAAAAGCCGTTGAAAATTTTTATTTCTTTTTATTTTTTAGATATATTATTATTATTGTTTTTTTTCCTCTCTTTGCTGCTGAACGATGTACACGGCTGGTGGAGCCTCGACAGGTGGCGTTAGATCGCCTTTTGCCCCAGCAGCCAAGACTACTGAGTCTGAATAAAGTTTATTCTTATTCTTATTATTAATAGTATTTTAAGCCCCAGCCAGCGTTTCTTAAACAGTCGTGTAATGTAGCTACCAGCACGCGTCCAACCATGTCTAGACGTGCGACCAATGAATGCACTCGATACAGTTTCCTGGACGTGTCCTTCTACCCCGTGTTGTACAAAGCGCAGACGCGGCACATCCAGCGCTTGTTTTGTGGTCTTTGGTACAGTTGCGTCCCGCGAACAGCGATATCGACGAGGCGGAGCAAGCAGGCGAACGCAAGTCGACGCGGGGCGAGGAGAAAGAGGTTTGGCAGTGACGAGAGAGCTCGCGAGAGGCCAAGAAGTGGCAAGAGGGAATTCGATGGAGAGAAAAAGGAGCGCGGCAAAGGGCGGGAGAAGGCATCGCTCATGTGACGTCACTTAAACTGGAGAAAATAGAGAAAGAGAGAGAGAGAGAGACGGCGCGACGGGTGACGTCACGGTGGTCACGTGGTACACTGCGCGTGGGGGCATTCGGGAGTTTGGGGAAGAAAAGGATGGAAAGGAGAAGGAGGGCGAAGAGCGGAGTCCGGCTGGGAAGGAATCTGATTGGATGAGGGTATAAAAGGGGTACCCCTTGAGCCGAAAAGTTTCACAGCGATCGCTTTCTCGGACGGGACGGTTGTTTAGTCTGCGGGCGCAAGTAAGCAAGTCGACTTTGACGGCCCTTTGTCGGACCCCAGCCAAACCTCAAACCAATTCAAGATGGGTGAGTTTTGTGCCCGCTTCTTTTTCTTTCCTGTGTCTATATTCCCTGACGATAAATAGCTACGAGGAACATGAAGTGTCAGAAAAATATATTAAAAATAGGAATCCGTTGTATCGTATTGAGGTGTAAAATTATTCGGAAGAAGCTAAGACGTTACACGGCTGGGACCAACCTAGACATTCGTTTTTACCTCCTACAGGTGTATGTCGTAGCAGCCAGCTTATAAATTTGAATCGCTGAAGCTCAGGTTTTTAGTTTTCACTTAGACGATATTCCCACAAACTCATCTTTTCAACTAGTGTTTCTTGACATATTGTTTTAGATCAAACGAGTATGAGACAATTTTGTAAAAGAAATATCAATTATTTACTTTCTCATATCGAGTAAATTTTCAGTACTCGGCTAAAACCAAAGGTCAGGAAAATTCAACATTCTGTTTTCCCCATATCAAGCTTAATTGTTTCGTTTTCTTTTCAGTTGTGACGTATTCATGAAATTGCCTCAGTAGGTTCCAAATAACCCGAATTTAAAATTTACTGCAAAACTTTCCTGGACTGAATCACCCCTTAAGAAGCTTTCCATTTCATTTTTATCGAGCATATTAACGCATCAATTGATTGACTTTTAAAAACCCACGGATGAACATAACGATAAACAAAGATGAAAGAGCGTGTTGGTGAAAATACAGGAGTCAAAGAAAGAATAAAAACACTTAGGGACAAGGACAGTACAGTATATATATTAATTTCCGCATCTTCCTCTTTAGTCTTAAACGTTTGGAAGATATAGCACTATTGAAGGAGACACCAGTAAATGTGTGTTGCTAGTTGAAAGAACTGTACTGTCCTTGTCCCTAAGTGTTTTTATTCTTTCTTTGACTCCTTAACGTAACGCTAACTGGAGATCCTTGAACTGACCGGTTCATAGGGATGGGTTGCGTCCTATCGTAAACCGAACTCGTTCCAGGCTAAACTCAACGTTGTTCTGCTATCTGTAAGCTTTCACTTTTACGTGAGCTCACGCACTCTTTATCTGCGCGAAAGTTTAAAGCACAATCGATGCAAATAATCACTTGCTGACAGTATAAAAAAGTCACTCCTTTATTTAAGCAAGTAAAATGTCATGGGGCAAATGAATTTGAGTGTATTTCGCGGTAAATCCGTTTTGGTGTTTTTAAGCATTCTTTCCGATTAATAGTTTAGCGCTTCTAGGACAAAAAGAAAATTAAATCTCTCGCCTTTCTGCGAGTGTCCCACCCAACCCAACCTTGAAAAGCTGCAAATTTCGAATCGTATTACTAACTGGTATTTTGATGGCTCTCCTAGAATATAATTTCCTTCGAGATATCGATAAATTATTAGAGATAACTTCTTCTCAACGACCCATCATGGAGGTCACATGTTCGGACACCGGAAGGGACACCGGACAAAACTATTCGGCATTATTTATATACATTTTTTATGCGGCTGTGAAAAAATTGGGAGGCTAGAGTATTGCTTCGGGAATACTCATATTAGTGCCTTTATTTATTAGTGATACTATTTTTATTTTGCTTGGAAAGTGAACTTGGAATTAAAAAATAACACTACAAATGATATGTTTGCATCGATTTATAATTTATTGCTCTTCAATGGAGATCACGCGAACAGTCACGCGAGTGTGACATCAGGGCCAAGCGATGACCCTAGACGCTCCACAGCAACAGACCGTGCGATATAATAGGGCTGTCATTATAATTATGCTTGTTTGCCTCAAAAATCGCGGTTCAAAAGTCCAGCTCATCGTGGTGCATTTCTAATTTCCCCCTCTATGTCTGAATTGAGATATATATGTAGGTGCGTTTTAGACGATGTATGCTATCTTATCCAGATGTATAAGCCTCAAGCGCCAAGAGCAAGGTTTATTCCTCCGATTACCAAATCTTGTAAGAACTACTTCGCACGTCCTGCGTTGAGAGCGTAAGAATTCCCTTTTTTTTGTGGTGAGAAGGGGTATAGATTTGGGGCCGAGGCACCTTTCAATGCCGCACAATCCCCCGTGCGTTCGAGAGAATCGCGACACCTTTTTTTATTTTCACGTAGTAACTATGATGCAATATCTGTTCCTATCCCCTCTTAACGTCGTCACCACCAGTAGTCTGCATATTTGCCCCATTTTATCGGAATGCTGCGATGCCCTTTTTTCAGACGCGTGAGAATTTTTAGGGTTCATGGTGAAATATCAACAAAAATCGATCGACGAGTGGAACTTCAATTTGATGTCGGTGTCCCTTGAGGCATCGAACCGGTCTAGATCAGTCACTCCTATCATTTTTTTGCAAACCTTTCTAAGATATAATTTTTTTTTAAAGGACGGCTTTATTCGTTACATCGTGAGTACAGTGCGATAAAATAATCTACGTACAGTCCATCGAAAAGCCAACAGGTGGGGGAACGCTTAACCTTGTCGGTTTGGTTGCCAACTTAGAGGGCTCGGAGAAGTGTGTGTGTGTTTTATTTGAGCAAAATTTTGATTTATTTAAAAATAAAACTTTTTTTCCTTCAAAGGGCCTGAAAATACAGTTTCTTACCTCGTCAATAATGGCTAACAGCTAATTTCTTTTTTGCTTTTAAAATTTATATTCTAGATGACATGTGCTTTGTGGTTAGCCAAGCAATTCTTTGAACATTTCGAGGAGAATTTATTTTAAATCCGTAACTTGCGTGAAGCGTTTCTTTGACAACGAGTACATTATTGCCTAACTGTCACTCATTATTTTTTTACGTGGGTATTTTGAATTTTCGAGAACACTGAAATGAACCAAAGAGTCTTTGTATAAAAACTTGGTTATTAAACGTCACGTTCAGAGTAAACACAAGAACCTTGAGAGAACTAATATGATGCCCATAGAGTAGCTTCTCTGATGTGATATCACAAATTTATAAGAAATTCATAAAAACGTGCGGTTTTGTATAGGTGGAGCTGTTATACAGTATATTTAATGCTCCACTTAGGTGTTTTTTATTAAGAGAAATTTGGCCTCCCCTTGGGGCAACTATAGCGTTGCTTTTGTTGACGTTGATCTTAGGATGATCTTAGGATTTGCACCGCAAATGTAAATCCTAAGAACAAAGGTCGGCCGGACTGCTTAAAGATAACTGTCGCTTCACTTTATATCATTTTGATTTAATCACGTGATTGACAAAACTGATAGATTCTCTGACAGTCATGTTTCCAACCCGTGACATTAAATTTCATCGTTTACATTTCTGGTTCTTCCCAAGTCGACATTTTCCAAGGGTTTATTTATTTATTTATATTTTGCTTCATAAAAAAAACACACAACTTTTTATCACCCTCACGGGTTCAATTACCCTTGGATTTCAAAGTTATAGTGACGTGAAGTTTGGTGATGTGGGCTCCTTGCTTCGAACATGCAGCCAACATCTTGGCTGACAAAACAATTACAGGTTTTGGAGATCCGAGGAATACTCAGGATAACCGCATGACCACAAACTCAGTATTGCGCTAACAGTTTATTTCCTCAAGAAGGAAAACATATAATAGTGTAGAGTATGTGGCATGTCTTCAATCAGTGTTTCCTGCTGAATTTGTGTTTATGTTTGCAAGAACAATAAGTATAGGTCGATGATCTCCGGGTTTGGACCGATTTCGCTTGAACTTTGAAATTCTTTGCGACAAATTCAGTAACGGAGAGCTTCATAAAAGGAGAGTTAACGGAAAAGAAAAAGTCAATCGTGAGCTGTTAAGAAATCTCGGAGAATTCCTACATCCGGGGAGATCACGTCACCTAATTTTCAAGCTAGTGTAAAATGACCTTTTTTTTTATTTGCAGTTATTTGAGTTTGCAAAGAATGAATCTCTGCGCGGTGCAACATGCTCGTTTTAGAGCGTATCTCTTAGGTGCCCATGTCCGTTTTTCGCGGCGTCGGCGTAATCGCGCTAAATTTAGCAGGAACATTTACGTCATGTGACCTGAAGACAAATTCAATTCCCCGCTAAATTTAGTGGGGGAAAATCGGTTTCTCCGCTAGGTTTAGCGGACAAATTCAGTTTTCCTCTAGATTTAGCGGAAAGATTGACGTCACGTAATCTCCACATCAATTCAATTTCCCGCTAATATTCAGCGATTAAATTAAATTGGTGTTGAGGTCACGTGACGTCAATTTTCCCAATAAATCTAGCGGAAAAACTGAATTCGTTCATAGGTGAAGTGATCCCGACTCCTGTGGCGTCACTTTCCCCGCTAGATTTAGTGGGGAAACTGAATTGTAGGATGAGGAGGTGAAGGTATGGAGGAGGGGCACATCCTGCCCTCCGTGCCCTACTCCCTCCCCTTCAAGAGCTGCGCTCTAACTTAGCATTACAGAGATTTGTAAAATCCTTTCATTTTGCTGTTGGCTATCAAGCAGTACAACTATTCTCCGTCAGTTGAAGTTGGACGCGTCACTCTTTAGCACGTGCAACATGAATATAAATAGGCCCCAAGTCCTAATGAGCTTTAATGTTAGGAACCAAGAGTGTCATGTACAGAGCAGTTGTTGCAGCATGAAGTTGCACGACCGTTTTGTATGCCAAGCGCCAAGTACAGTACACCGGGAATGACTTAAAATGCAACCGTTTGTAAGGTAAAGTTTCACGGCACTTTCCAATTTCGCACAAGTGCACTCAGTACCCGGCTGAAATGCCTGAAATACAAATTTGGCACTTGGTGGCTGACGTAAAGGTAGTAAGCACCACTCTCTTTAATGACGCGCATTCCGCAGAACCAAAAACGAATCGAGCGTTTTACTCAAGCAGCAACAAACAGGAAAAAACTTCCAAAAAACTAGCAATCAGACTAATTGTACCGAAATCCGTACGCGCCACCGTTTTACAACGGGACGAGTTGCATCGCCACAGACAAAACTCTGTTTTCTGATTTTCTTTTTCAGACTTTTTTTTATTTTATTTTAAACCCATGCGCGCGAGCAGATTGAAAGTCGATCCGAGATTCCGGA